TTTTTTGTGGAGTTATTTCTTCACATGTAAGTAATATATATTCTAAATTTAAGTTAAATTAGACCATCGATGCAGGTCTTCAAAATATTTCGACTCGTGCGTCATCTACCGGTGCAATTTTTTGTGGAGTTATTTTTTGTTATGTAAGTGATATATGTTATGGCGGTTATTCAAATATCCCAATTCCTGCGCCACCAAGCGGATTAATCCTTTTATTTTGCCAGGTTTCTACATTCATACATATCGTCGGTGAAACTGCAAAACGGTTTATGTCTATTAGTATCCTTGGCACCTAGATGGCCTCTTACTTGCACCGGAATGCATCTGCAAATCGTTACACCCTAATAAACGAATGACAAAACTCTCTACCTTTGGCTGATGAAGATGAACGATTGCCACTCGCGATCAGATACAGATAAGAGATCAATTAAGCACCAGAGGTAGTAAGTGACATAGAACGTTTTCATCTCATGGTGAACTTTTTTTTTTTTGTTAGATGAAGTTATAAAAATATGAATCACACAGGGCGGGTTGGGTTACAAATGTAAACCAGGCATTTTATGCAATGAATGTAATGTAAATGAGTGTAATTTTTGTGTTTCAAATTTTCTTCAACCAAAATAAATTCGATGTTTTTATTGAATTTTTTGTGCTTTGTAAAATTTTTTGCTTTCAAGGGAACAATTTTAAGGCTGGTTTTCACTATGTCATATTTCGTCCTTTATCCATACCCTTACCGATGATATTATGGGCTAAAAACTGACAGACAGCCGATTTTGCAACACATGTATACACTTAAGACACATTCTATTTGAAATGAGTAGCAGTAGCCTATCGACATATTAAAGTTGGGGGAGCAATGTTATTGTTGCAAAAGTACTGAACTTTTTGATTAAACATCGTAATACTTGCCATGGATAAAAGAAATTAAACAATACGATGATATTAAATTTGTAAACAATGAAAAATAATTTCTGAATATCATACGGAAACTGATTTCCAAATGCCCATAATAAAACACTTAAAGAAGCCCATAAATCTCAATTGTTGACCTATTCATTCATAGAGTAGATTTATATGGTTCTTGTATCATTGATAAATCTATAGCCTGATTCATGCAATACTACACTCTACCCACCACAGCTACTGTGCATAAATTAAACCATTCAACAGTCTCTAAATGATATTTCTTTGATACTTAATAAATCTTCGCGTGAAGTGTAATGCGAAGCACGTGTTTACCACAAACGAATCGAGCGAAGGAATGACGCGATTATAGAATTAATTGATGAATGAAGCGATGCGGTGATGGGAAGATCAATTTGGTGAATGGCTGAAGAATAAGAGCAATTTCAAATGATGTGGAGCATCATAAATAAATTTAAACCGTGATACATCAAAGGAAAATTTTTAGAATTTCAGCAATGAGCTTGGCTTTAATGTCTGTGAATGACGACAACGCAGCCTAGCGTCAACATACATACGTATTGGGCTTAACTTCGAGTTTAAATATATGGTTCATTCCACGGTGACGGGTGTGCTATTTCAACTCACATTTTAAGGCTTAATTCTTTAACTGTAATATAAAATTCTTTAAAACGAGTATTTTCTAATAGGTTTCCGAGATATACACATTGCCCTACCTCACTTCAAAATGTATTAAAAATGTGCTGATATAGGGCGTTTTTGAATCGGCAGCTGAAATAGGTCGATCTTCCACTCAGCAGTTGATATGTACTTCTGAAAAAACACCCGATACATACATACATGCATACATGTAATAATATGTATATCACTGCATACCTTCCATGCCAATCATACCGTCGCCAACGTGCGCAATGATGCGTCAACTAGATATTTAAAGAGCGCCGAGATTATTCTACACCAGAATATATAAAGTGTATAAAAGGAAGCAAGCGATAAAAATAAATCAGTGTAGCCATGCAAAATCTACTCATAGATTCTTCAATGTAAATATTTAACTAAGTTCTGCGAACTGGCGCGCCCGCTGCCTGAGCGATCTAACCGCCAATTGTGCACCGGCTTGCAAGTCTCTGCCAGCTGGTACTCATCTTATTATACCAATTAGGGCAAATGTATTTGTTTAAGATACATTCTTTCTTTTATAAATCATATTCTGCCGTCTGCCCTCTAACTAGTCTAGCCGTGGCTTTCTAAACTGGGCAAGAAGCATGCAGCCAATTAATATACTCGTAATTTGCTTTCGCACTTGTTAGTCGCGTAGGCGTGCGAAAAAACGTCTACTTATGTGACATACTTACATACTTATACATATATATTTATTTACACACAAATTGACATACAACAACTCCCACAAATAGCAGACTGCAACAATTGCATTTCGTTGTTGTCCTCAATGCAGGTCGTTCATAGTGTCTGTCTGATGTGTTATTGTTGTTGCTGTTTGTTGCGCTCACCGGGCCACTGCCTGTTGTAAATATGTATTCGTATTATGTAAACGACTGAGGTTGTAGCTTAAGTTGTCGTTGTTGCTGTGCGTGGGTCTGTTGATAAGCTTGTGGTTTGCGGTGAGTAGTGTGGCATTTTTTTTAATGCCACCACATTGCGTCACCACTTTCGTAACGCCAATGCACTACTTGTAACAATAACAAATGAGTTTTGTGTGTAATGACATCACTCAGATACAATGATGTGGGTATTTCTTGGAAAAGTTACTTGTTGTTTACATACATTTACATATGTACATGCATATGTACATACATACGTATATATGTTCTTTCGTTTCTCCTATAAATATGTTTTTTTTGCACTGGGTGCTTTAACCTTGAAAAACATATCCTACGTTTGCTGCAAGAGTGTCATAATTCTAAAAATCAAAAACTCAAGAAAAGCGGCTTTAAAATTGAAGAGTTTCGAAGCATTTCGAAGATAACGAAATTGGGTAATTTCCTAATGCCATTGGTATGCCACTATTTTCTGTACAGTCCTCGTTAGTTAGAGAGCTAATTTAATAGACCGGTATTTTTGAAATCATAAGGGAACAAACCCGTATAGGTCCAAATACATAAAATTTTCGCGTGGGTACATTTGAAAATTGTTCATAAAATTTTTATCGGAGTCTGTAATCTCATTTACTACCACCACACCTTAATTTTTTAAATTAGTTTTTCTACAGAAAGTTTATTTCACTTTATCAACTATAATTTGTTTGCTTATTTGAACCTAATACATCATAAGAATCTATTTTTCTTTTGTATTAGCGAAATAATAAAATAAAATAAAAAATAAAAAAAATAAAAGAAAACTATGGATGAACCGCCAAATTCATAAAACATTAAATGCTTTATAAACAAAAAAATTTGCATGAAAATGTCATTTCATAAAGCCTTTAAATTTTCTTAATTGTTTATGAATAAGGCCATAAATAATTATTGTAAGTTACATTTCGTTTAAGAAAATATGTGCTCCTTAAAAAAACAAAAAAACTAATGAGGGGCATTTTCTCAGGTAACCTCTAACTTTAAAGCTCACTTTATATTTAAGGGTTGCATTCAAATTTAAGATTGTGTCTAAAGTAAAGCATTTTATTATCGGTCCTAAATTGGATAACAGCCAAGATACACACATACATACGTCAGAAACCGATAATATAAATGCTTTACTTTAGATATAGTTTTATTTTTAATCTAACCTTTAAATATAAAGTGAGCTTTAATGCTAAAGTTTACTTCAGCCAACG